TTTTTTGACGAGTGTTACGATACTGACTGAGATACCAACGAGACGGTATTCTAGAAAATACTGTCTAACTGTTGTGCATTCATTAAATGTTTAGCTGTGTTTAAAACAGTGAAGCAAATTTTATGGAATTTTTAAGCTTTATTTGTTTTCAATTGTTCAAACAGCGTTCCATAAATACGAACTGACGTTTTCAGACTGTTACTGTCAGTAGAATAATGGTCATCAAATTATGTTAGTAAAAATGAGCTTTCCTGTATAAATAAAACCGAGCGTAACTTAACAAATCCAGCATAAATCCAGCAAATTCAGCATAAAATTCATGTCAAGAGCACTTGAAGTTTACCAAACTTTTTAGACATTAAAAACTTTATTTTTTCCGTCTTATCAACTTAATACTTTTCTGCCGTTCCTACTGATTGCTGTATACATACAAAAAGCTTTCAAAGTAAACGAATCTGTTTTTCTACCGCTTGTCTATGTTGAATACGTTTAGTTTATTTGTGAGAGTTATCAGGATTCTTTTTTTTTCCAGAACAATCATTTTCCAAAACATATTTAAACTTAAAGTAAAAGATGAAAAAACAGTGAATAATATCAAAACTAGAAACATTTGTAAAGTGATTTGACGTTTCAAAAGTAGTTGGCAGCAACAGCAGTTGATCTGTCACCTACTTTTTAGCATGATTTTACGAGACTAAATTATAATCAGAAAACGATTAAAACGATATGCTGTGGGTTTTTTTTTGTTATTATTTTGAAAAAAAAGAAAAGCATTGTTTGTCACGTCGTAATAACTCACAACATTTTTTATTATCACAGTAAAGGTCAGATATCATACGGCCAAATATTAGTAAATTCGGTTGGAATCGAAATACTGGTGATGTTCCTCGACCAGTAACATAAACGAGAGCCTTCTCTTTTCAGAGAAATATATGGAATATTTTACGTATTCCGGTGCCTTAAAAGTGAAACACTTAAAGGATAAGAAAATTGTACAGGCAATAAAAGCATAACAGAAGGATCTTCTTAGAAACTGTTTGATACAGACTCTTAATCACGAAGACAAATAGATTTTTAATCGTTTTAATCGTTTTATTTTACTCTGCGTAAAAAAGTAAAGGGAAAAAACTTTGCTAATGGTCTTCTTATTCCTCATAGTGAAAAAAATGAACAAAAAGATTTTATAACAAATTCAAGCAAAAACATTTTCAAATGAAACATTTAAAAGTTATTACTTTCGTTTTCCTACCCGTGAACTTTGTGTAGTTCTTTTATTTTTTGGTATTTTCAAGTCATCAAATTGCTTGGCAGGTTTAAACCTACCTTCCAAAATTGTTTGGATTTGGCGTTAAAATCCTTTTTAAGTTTTATACTTCTTCAGTAACGAATTTCCCCGTAATATATAGTAATCTGCTTCCTCTTATCAATGATGATTTTGAAAAATTGTTTATGCAAGTGCTCTAAGTAAATATTTAGAAAAAGTAAGAAAGATCATTAAGTTTAATAATTCATTTAATGACACTTTTTATAATTGGTAAAGATAGTTTGAGTAATTTTATAAATCACCAAAATCAAGGCAGAAAACATTAACAGTAGGTGCTATGAGATTATTAGCTTTCCTGCTTAAAATAAAAGGTTGACCCAAATTTTTTGTGCAACAAGTTCAGAAATACAGATTCGATCTCATTCTTTGTCAAAAGCTACTGACAAGCTAAAATGAATAGTTCTTTGTTTAATGCCCATAAATTTTTTGAATAGTTTATTTCAAGTAGCAAGAAAGCCATAAAAGACGCTTTTATCAAACCTGCTTTTTTATTTGGTATTTTCAAAAGATTTTTAGGTAAAAAAAGTATTGTTTCAGGAAAAGCAAAAAAAGTAATTTTTGTAGCAAAAGTGCAAGAATAGGGAGCAAAACTTTTCAAGGTATAAACTTCGAAAAAACCCTGCATACACTTTAGAATCATTCTGATTGGGTGCTCAAGTGTGCAAATTTGTGTTACGAAATTTGTAACACGATGCAAAAACGAAAATTTTACGAAATTTGCGAATTTATGTTAAAAGTTACTTACTGTTTGGAATACTGAAAGTCCTAAAAATTAGGTAAGTCGAAAATTAAGAATAGTGGAACTCACTTCTCATATAAGTGCCCGCTGTCTGATACTCTACGTCGTCGTTAACAGCTCCTTCCCACTTTTTTTGCAATATCTTGTTGAAGAATTCATTTGTACGCTTATCCGGAGAGAACAGTGAGGTATCCCAGGAAGTGCTTTTCAAAGGACCAATGAAACCAGGGAGATCTGCGTCAAGCCAAAATTCATCAATTGGACGTTTGCGTGGATTTGCTTGAATGTTATTGCCAGTTGCATCGGAGGAGACATCGCATAGATAGCCAGGCTGGACGTTCTGAAATTTTCGTAACTGACGTATTGCTTTCACCCTTTAGGATTAAAAGGAAATAATTTTGCACAGACTGAAGTCTGTACTTCTGAAAAGACAAAAGTAGGAACTAAATATATTAAAATTGCCAATATTTAAACTGATTTAGGTTTCTTTCTTTGCCGTTGAAAAAAACTTATTTGGCGAAAATAACAAGCGCATACCTTTATTTTTGTATTGAAACTTTAAAACTCTTTTACAACTAAATAAGGCCCTCTTAAAGAAGGATGCATTTATGAGCGCACCACTGAATGAAAACACCGGCGGCTTATTAGTTGACATCGTCTGCTTGACAATTTATAAGAATAATTATCAAGTGTAATCAACTTAAAAATATAAGCTATACCAGCAGTTCATTTATCAAAACATTGCTGTATTTGCTTCCTAAGTGTTCAACAATTAAATCGTTAGAATACAGAGCATCAAACGGTTTATTCCGGCGGTCCACCTCGTTTTCTATTTCTTTCAGCAAAGTCTTCTTCTAAAATTTTGGAATATAGCTCTAAAAAATAACATTATGTACGTGTTTTACAAATCTTTTGAAAAAATTTTGTCATAAAAGTAAGGGAAAAGTGGTCAAAAAATTATGCGGTATCATAGAAAAAAATCTTTAACAGCAAGAAGAACTTGCTTGGAACTTCAGTATTACAGGCGGAAGTTCCCGTACATGTACTGGAGTAGTCTCACCATCTTTGTAGACAAGTTTCAGTACTTTTTTATAGTATTTTACATCTGTGTTATCGTTTTCGGCAGGCAAGCAGTACTTTACCTGAAAATTTATTCTTAGACGGTAAAAAGAAAAAATTTCATTCAGGAGATCTACGACTTTTTTATGTTAAAGCAAAAAAATGCTACCAAAAAATCTATCAAAAAAAAATTATTGAAGTTCTGTTGCTCCGATCAACTTCTACTAAAAGTTTGTTGTATACTGATAGAAAAAACTGTTAAAACACAGTTGAAATTTTTTAGCTAACTTTTTTGGGTGAAATTTTATCAAATAATCTGTCAGCACTTTTGATGCCAAGAAACCAGCGATCCCAGACGAACAGCCTTTGAGAAGTTATTTCTGCATGGTAGTCGTCGTAAGAAAAGTCAAGGTTTTTTGTATGCTAAAGTATTTTCGAAATGAACAGAAGTAGCAAGTGTTAAATTTTTGTAAAGAATTTAGCCAGTACTGTGTGAGGTTAATTCTTTTATTTTTTTAAAGTGTAATTAAAAAGAAAAACACGAAACTAACGAACGTTAAGGGCTTCGTCTTGTGACATTCCACTGGTCCGGCAAATAACATAATGACTTGTCATTTCTTTCCATAACATTTGACAATAAAACACCGGTATATAGTCTCGATTACAAGGCGAAAATTGAGTAAATGGTGTTATCGGAAAAGGAGGATCGTCGGGTTTTTGATGCCTCAGCTCAGCTGGCAAGTCACCGAACTAGAGAAGAAACTTTTTGTTGTTATAATTTTGACATATTTCATCTTCAAGTTAGGAAACATGCACACTTTCTTAACTAATCCTTCATTCATTAATTCAAGCTGTTGGCGAGTACCGCTTTTAATCTGTTTCAGTTTCTCTTCTTCAGATGCAGTTTCAGACTTATATTTTTTTGAGTTACATTCACCTAGAACTTCTTTTCGAAATTTCATGTCATGAAATTCATATTTTGGAGCTGAAGATTTTGGTAGCAGTATCATGGCAAGAACAGTGGCATGCTTGTTAACCTGAAAATATAAACAGATTTTTCTCTTTGGCATTGCATAAAAGTGTAGGATTCAGGAGGAATTTGTTATTAGGTTTTGTCAAAGAAAGTTTTGCATTAATTAGAAACAGTGTTATTTTTAATATCATTTTTTAACCTCAGTATTTTTTTTGTTTCTTTTTTGCTCTTTATAGTATTATTTCTGCTCATTTAGTCTAAACCAAATTATTATTCAGTTGATTATAAGAGAGAGGCCCACTTACTGACGATAGTGTTAAGAGAGTTTGTAAAATGATACATATTCCATAAAGAACGAAAACTGTTGTAGCGCACCTGAAAAAAAAGCTGAAAATAATGCTGTAAGCTAAATAGATTTTATTTAAAAAAATAAAAATCGCCTCAAGTTCTATTGTACTTTTAAAGATTCTAAAAATGCGTCATAAAAAAATCTCGTACAATGATGCAGTGGTGGAAGAGAGGTCACCACTTGAGAAAAGTAACAAGAACCAAGTTAAAAAATGCAGCACTGATCCAAGTACTATAAATGGTGGGGTTCGATCAAGCGGTACGAGTCGCTTCCCAAGTTCATATGGTAATTTATCGACAAAAAACTTTACTGTAGTAAGATACAAGTATGGTTGACATCTGCATTGAAACAACATTAGCAACGTTAATAATGTCGATTATCTCAATAATCTCTCACTTCCTTTCGTATCATTTTGCAAAACAAAGTTCTGACATTATCTTTAACCAGTGGTATATCTGTATTTTGACAAGCAAATAAGAAATCATGAAATCATTTTCTTCGGATACAATAAAAAGGACAAACTTTTTAACATAGAATATGGTTTCGACTGTGCTAACTGCTGCAAGAAGAGCTGTAAAATTTAAAACTGCTAGGCTTATAATAAAGTTAAGAGAAATCTCATCAAAAGCTCCAAGTATGGCCCAAGGTTTTGCTACGTTCTTCCAGTGTAGAGCGGTTATGAGAGACACCATAGCGGTTCCGTATAAGTAACAAGGCGGTACAATCATCTAGAAATTTATGCTTTTTTGTTCGATTTCTGTAAGAAGCGTAAAGAGCCACACTGATTTCTAACTATTAAAAATTTACTTTTGCTTTTGTTTTAATATGTACCTGTGCCAGCAGTCAAAATGTTTAGTTTTTTGGTTATTTTAGCAATTATTTTTCAGTTCTTCTGCTTCTGCTTCTTGCTGAAAGCATTTTTTCCAAAACTACTTGCTAAGCACTGTTTTTTAAGCGCAAGTGATGGCTCTAATAAAGATAAAAGTTTTTGTAGAGCAGTAAAGTGGTATCTCTGACTGTCCTAATCAGAATCTGATGGAAAAAAATATTTACATTTCAGACTGTGGTAAAAAATGGTTAACTAAACTTTGATTCTTAGAATTTACGAATAAATGCGGCTTGCATAACGGTCATTTCGAAAGACAAACAAACACTTGTATTTATTTCAGCTGAAGATGATTTTTGTAAAACAATTCCAGTGGTCACAACTGAGATGGAAATAAGCCTTAAAGTACTTTCAGCTGCTAAAGTTATTTTTCTGAGTGGACGACAAGGTAAAAAAAGGTATGAATTTTTATTTTTAGCTTAACTTAGTTTTGAGTGTTCAATGTTAAAAATTTTCAAACTTATGCCAGTTCAAATTATTAAGGAGCTAATGTTGGCAAGCAGCAAAAATCCTGTTTTTTAGACTTTTAAACCACTTTCTGATTTCAAGAGCTGGTTTTAAGATTATGATTTTTTTATCCATTTTTTTTATTTCGGAGAAATATATTTGTTTTAAAAATAACTGTAAGGTGCTGTGCTGTTTCCGGTGGCTAATTATTTATAACAGCAACTACCTTTTTTGAAGTTATTTAACTTATAACAGTTAAAAAATCTAAGGACGAGAATAGACGAAGAATAGTTATCACTGTTGGGAAGGTTGTAGAATTATAAGAAACAAAATTGTAAAAGCCATTTACCAAGTATTTCATTTTTGGATTATTATACAGCGCTTTATCCCAAGCATCAATATGTTCGCCACCCACAAATCTGAGCACATTTGTCGCCTCTTTTACATAAAAACATTGACCTAAAACGTAGTTGCCTGGTTATCTGTTACTTGGCAAAAAGAGCTGATATTATTATTTAATTATAAGCCCGTTTATTGTGGTCAAAAATTACTTACTCTACAGCAATGGAGTATTATTAATCTCATCGTCCGACAAAGAAAGGTAAAAGTTTTAGTTGCACTTACCAGTTGTGAAGAAAACGTTGATAAGAAAGTTGTATAGTCGAGCTCCGTAAGTGGAATCTAGGTTAAAAAATCCTGGATGTCGAAACAAGAAACTAAATAGTGCACCAAAAAAAACCATTCGAAGCCGATGGTTTTGTAGCATCTCGTGTGGATACTAAATTTAAACAGAATTTTGGCTTAAATTACTTAGTGTAACAAAACATATGAAGAATTTTTGCAATATTTATTCGTAATAGAAAACGACGGATTAATTTATTAATAAAATTTACATTATAAATTCTATTAATTTTCGAGTATTAATTCGAAAAGAAAATATTGTTAGGAAAAAGAAGAAAGTTTCAACGCACATCTGTTTCGGTATCACATTCAGCATAATAGTAGTGGTGAATTAGGAGCGTAAGTGATGTGACAGCAATCAGAAAGAGTAATCCATACTGAACGCTGTTAAAATTCCATACCTATAATAGCAAAGTAAAAAATATATTTTATTAAAATATTGGTGAAAACATTTCAGCATGACCATTTTTTTCACTTCCAGTTTTACGAGTGGATCTGTATCGTTACTCATTCCAAAACTGAACAGTAGGTTCGGATTGATCGAACAAGCTGAACCAGTCCATCCACTTTGACATACGCAAATACCATGATCAACTTTTTCTACACATTTTCCATGATTTCCACATTCGATTTCATCACAAAATTGTGGTGATTTCCAACAAGCAGCCATCTGTAATAATACATATGCTGATACAAGTTCCATACGAAACCAAAGAATAAAATGCAAAAGCAAAGAGTTACAAGAAAAAAAAAAGTTAAAAATAATCCAAATTACGGCAGAAGCTGACCTTCCATCCATCTTTACATTTGCACTTAACTACTCCTGGTCGTAACTGTACACACTTACTTGTACCTATAGGGTAACATTGACCACATGAAGTTTTGAATTCGTTTCTCTCAAGATCCAAAAACAAGTCAGTTCCTTAAAAATGTTAATACTTGAAATACTTTTAAAAAGATATTAAAACTTTTATATATCACCTCTGAAGTACTGTGCAAATAAACTGTTTAAACGTTTTGAGCATAATGAACGTTGTACAACACACTGAATAAATCTTTAGATACGTAACGATACTCGAAACATGTAACTCTGATATCTCGTTGATTGCAAAAAATTTAAAAAAAAATTTTTTTTACCTTTTTGCGGATTGTTATTTGTTTATTACCATAATCGCTTTTTTCCTTTACTTTGAAATATTTGCCTCCATTTTAAGTTTTTTCTCAATGTTTTCATTAATTTTTTTTAGATATTTTTACACTTTTTTTAATAAAATTTTTATATTTACTTTTGAATATCAATTCTTTTTTAATATTTTCTCTAGTCTTACAATACTTTAAACATTTTTTTTGTTTTGCAAGTGACATTATAACTTAAACACTTTTTTGAAGTACTTTTTTTTACCATCTTTTATAGAGCTCAAAATTTTAAACTTAAAATAAGACTTCCTCAGATATAGATTTGAAGAAAGTAGTCACTTTTTTTACTAAGAAATGCACAATTTTGTATTCACTGCTTCCTATATCTTTCACAAAATTAGTTTTCTGAATTAAATTTGCCATAATCGAGAACTGTTGATTAAAATACGTATTTCTGGAGAAGTTACTTTTTATTACCGATAAAGTTCTGTTTAGACCACTTTTCAGCTTTAACAAAATTTTGCTTATATCACTAGTTTTTTCCTTCAGCTATATCCAAATAGTATCAGTTTTAAGATTATCTAATTCGACATAAAACAGAAACTAAGCTTAGATCTTTTAGTGTAACAAGAAGAACTACCAACTTTTGTTTCCATTTTTTATCCTCTAATTTCTTATTTCTTTATACAATTCCTAAATCAATAGCTTATTATGAGAGAGTACAGAAATGGTTTAATAAAGGTATATGCATAAATTTTTAAGCAGAATATTGGTTACTTAATGTTATCTGATTGATTCGGAAGAATATTCAGAAATTTGAAGAACGTTATAAAATAAATTTATTTTTTTTTTT